ACGATTATGACATACCCTAGTTGCTGCCATTACTATTGACCGAATCGGTGACTTTCGAGTCACCGGAACAACTCAATCTTACTTAAACAATCCCAAAATTTTATAACCCAACTACTAGATATATAGATTCGAGAATGGGACAAAAACTTACCTCAAACCGACAAGAAATTGATGGAACCTTGCTTGCTTTTGGTCGTCGGGTTTCCTCCTAGGTTATCAATGGACTCTTCCAAGCTCTTAGGTTTCTCTCTAGCGATTATCACAATAAGAGGAATTAGGGTTAGGTTTAAATGTGATTTAGGGTTAGGCTAAAATATGAATTAGGGTTAGGCTAAAATATGAATTAGGGTTAGGCTAAAATATAAGGATTAGAAAACCCTAATTTAAAAAAAAAAACCCCTAATTTAAATACAAAAGCCCAAGCCCATCATCCAAATTACAAAGTTTAAGCGAGTTATGCAGAACTAACCCCTCAAGTTTGGTCAACTTCCAAAACTAACCCAAACTTTAATATATATATATATATATATATATTTAACTGATATATATATACACACACACATACATATCTGACGGGTATTATAGAAGTTTTACCAGTTGTATATGTAGCTACTCCGTCCATACTCTGAAAACAAGAAGTAATTTCCAAAATTAGAAATAGTATAAAGGCATTATTTGATTCAGAAAACAAGAACGATGACTACTCTAATACGAAGATTGTGAAAGGCACACCTTTGACTTGTTGCTGTATAAATGCTTTCCGAATCTCGATGAATAAGGGATCAGATGCATCAAGAAGATAAGTACAGCACCATTTTGGGTTGCTGTCAACTGTAAACCTAGGAGGAAGGTGTCGACGACGATGGGCTGGGCCGAGGGAGGTGGCGGCGGCCGGTGGTGCAGGGCGACGGATGGAGACAGGCGCGATGGGCCGATATTAGTTTTTAGGGGTTTTTTTCTAATTTGTATTTTTACCTGCTAAAGAGGTTGTCGGTTACCATAAGGATGTATCTAACAGGTTTAATAAACTCTTAAGGATTTATTTAACCTGTTTTAGAATGTCTAAGGACTTGTTCGTTCCAAAAAATTGTCCAAGGACTTAATCATTCCAAACACTAAAGTCCATTGGGTTTTTTTGGACTTTTCCCTTTATAATATAGTACAGATATGATCACGCAATCTCTTTTCATTTATGGTATTGTAGCCAATAATAGTAAGACATCCCTGAGCTTCTCATTTGCTGTCAGACTTAAACTTTCGTGTGTTTGTACAAATATACCACCCTGAAACTAACATTGCTCACATCCTCGGAGTGCTACATTCTCAAGTTCACATGACCCTTCTCCCAAAATCATTTTCTATGTGCAAAAAGTTCCAAAACCTTTTGCTTTTTTGAATAACAGTGTGAAGACCTAGTTTGTGCATCAAAAAACAAGTCCCATTACCAGTAGTCCTTGCATGAACAAACTCCATCTTTGAAATGGTGGAAACGGGTCGGATCTCTAATAACAAACCGCCGGTCCACAACCTTGCTAACCGACTTTATAAACACATGACAATCTCCACATACCCTCAAGTTCTTTATCACAACAATGTCTTGCCCGATATCCGTGCTCAATAGCGCAAATGCAATAGCCAATCTTTCGCTATGAACCAGACCACTAACTTCATCATTTGTCCTTTCTCCATTTCTATTATTCACATGTGAATCATTTACCAATTCATCAAGTCTATCCAGCATTGCATATATCTCCTCTGTTTGTGGATGATTATGATCACCAGCTACAAAAAGGTTAGTTTTTCCTTTATGTTCAACATAGCTATACCCTGGATCCTTTCTTAGCCTTCTTTCTCTCATCATTACTCGTATCCGTAGTATACCATCCGTGTTTCTAACCTCTGTGTATAAGTTTGATAATAAAACATAATAACCGATATTTGTGGGTTCAAGCTCAATCACATGGTCAAATGCCAACTCAGCTAACTCAACATTCTTGTGAATCTTGCAAGCACCCAAAAGGGCTCCCCATACAGCACCATCAGGTTTCATTGGCATTGTTTTAATGAACTTTTGAGCATCATCAAGTCGACCTGCCCTACCCAAAAGATCCACGACACACGAGTAGTGTTCTGGACCTGGGCTCAACCCGTAATTCATCTTCATTGCATCAAAATAACCTAACCCTACATCAGTCAATCCAGCATGACTACACGCAGACAAAACACTAACAAAAACCGGCCCATCAGGCCTAATGTTGCACCTTATCATCTCATCAAAAAGCTGCACAGCGGTGTCTCCTTGGCCATGCATCCCATATCCGCCTATAATTGCTGTCCATGATACTAAATTCTTCTCTAGCAAGCTATCGAAAATCTCATGAGCTTTTACCAGATTACCACATCTAGCATACATGTTTATCAGAGCATTATTCAAGAAAAGATTGTGTTTATAGCTACTGTTTTGTATTTTCTTTTCTATGTCTACACCAATTTTCTGGGCACCAAGATGAGCACAAGATGAAAGCACACCAACAAGGGTTATAGGGTCAGGATCCATACCAGATGATTCAAATTTCTGATAAAGTTCCAAGGCTTCGGTTGCATATCCATTTTGTGCATACCCTGAGATCATAGCATTCCAAGTGGCTAACTCTTTAACAGGCATGTCATCAAAGAACTTCCGAGCTAGTTCGTTTGATCCACATCGAACATACATCGTGAGCAAACAATTTCTAACACAGAAGTCAAGGTCTAACCCATACTTAGCCACAAAAGCATGTAAAGATTCTGCAAACTTCAACTGTCCAGGATCAGTCAAACCTGGAATCAAACCCAACATGGTGACGGCATCAATGCGAACACCCAATGATCTCATCCGAGAAAAAAATTGATACCCCGTTAAAAACTGACCATTTCGAGTATACCCAGCAACGAGAGCGTTATAACAAACTGTCAGCGTTTGGGACTGAGGACTTTCGTCGAACAGTTTGCGTGCATCTTCAATAAAACAACATTTCCCGTAAAGAGAAATCAAACCCGTTTGTACGAAAGGTTCTGAGTGGCAGCCGGTTATAATGACGTGACCGTGAAGCTGTGTACCTGATATCGGGAGAGATAGGACGGCGCAGGACTTGAGGACAACGGGAAAGGTGAAAGCGTTTGGAGAGGCACCGAATCGGAGCATTTGCCGGTAGAGATTAAGGCATTCTTGATAGTTTCCGTCTTTGGTTAGCTGCCGGAGTTGGGTGTTCCATGATGTGCAGGTGGTGTGGGTTCTGCTGGGGACGATGATGCGAAGGTGGTGGGAAAGGAGTGAGTTTGTGGAATGGAAAATGGAGGACTGTCTGGTCATAGTATGAATCTGCTGGGTGCTTTCTGTATATTTTCTTGTTAAGTGGAACCGATAATCTGATGTATCTGAATTTGTATTTATATTTTAGAGTAAATCACGTTTTTAGTCCCTGTCGTTTGTTGAAATTTCTGATTTCGTCCCTGTGGTTTTGAAATTACGTTTTTGTTCCTATAGGTTGCAATTCATTGTTATTTTCCATCATGAGGTTAACTATTGTCTTTTTTTTTTATTAACCTGGATATCCAACCCGCTATGCAAGCCGATCAATTCCAAGGCAACCATCTGCTTTGCAGATATCCCAGAGTCACCATATTTGAACCTTCGTGGTCATAAGGAGATTTTTATTCCTCATTGGATTTGAACCTGGGACCTCCAGATACTTTTGATCTTTGGAGCCAAGTTCAAACAATCAGACATCACCCTTAATATGAGGAATTAAAATAGCAATGAATTATAGATTGTGAGGGATCGTCCATACCATTAGTAAGATTTGAAACAGCACGTCTAGAAATACCACAAAGGTATAACAAAAGGAGTTTAAGTAATCACCCCAAAACGCACCACATGAGATACATTTCCCCCAAAGGTGTACCGCTCTTTTGGGTTGGGTCGAGGATTAGTAGTATGGGCACGGACATGTACCAAAACACGATGTGAATTCTTCACAGACATAAATAAGCATATAACAAATAAGTTTGATCCATATGCCTCAATGGCCCGCGCAAAGGCCAGCTCAACACTGAAGAAGTTATACAAGTGAGGACGTCGCAGTTAATCACATTACTACAGAATGCCACTGCACCAATGCCCTCTTCATGTTGTGGCTATGGTACCTCTATAGCTACTTCTAGGGTAATGTGGTCACAAAATATGCAACCCTAACAGATTACAAAAGAACATAAAAAATTACAACGAATGAGAACTCAATGTATACAATAATCACATAAGAATGTGTCATCACAAAGGAGATCAAAGCATACAACTAATCTCAACCCACATACGGACGACCCTTTATCGTTACTGTTTGGTAAGTACTGTAGGATGGGTTGTCTACATGCAAGAGTACACCCAAGATTCATTTGAGTAAGAAATCCTTACCTTTAGAAGTCAATGAAAAATGGGATTTGAGAGGCTAATGAATCGGAATTGTATGGAATTCTCCGATTGTTCAGTTCCCTACAGGACATATAACATAGACTCTGGTACTTGAGTTTATAAAATCATTTTATTTTCATTCAGATGACTTTATTAAGGTTCTAAACAAACTCATTGGGATCCTAAATAGGTTTAGATAGGTTTAAGATTGCATACGTTGCACGTCCTTAAAACGTGTGATATAAACAAATAATGCAGCTCAATCCCCTGCGTTTGGCAGCTTCGTATCAATTTGTTTTTGAGCATTTTTCTCATACTTAAAGCTGAAAACAGAACTTAATTTATAAATAAAAGTTGTAGGTCTACTTCTGAACATCAAAATAACAATAAAGTCTAAATCATAAGTACAAAAACAAACAATAAATTATATATATACTATATTATAAAGCATTTAACAAAAACTCTTAAAAACAATTTTTTATGCACGAAGTACTGTCTATTGATGCATATTACTTAAAATTTAAGATTACAAGTAAATTGTGCATAAGTACAACTTATTAAAGCTCCATACTTGAATTCGTTTAACTAACTGCAAATAAACATAATCAAATATTGGATAAACATCTCATTTTAAATATAAAAAATCTAAAATATAATTATGATAATCATTGATAACTAACAGAATTTAATTAAGGAAATTACACAAAAACACAAAAACTTTTAAAAATATTAATTTAATATTGATATAGATATTATTTTTTTCAAAATTTTATATATTTTTAAATTTATATTTTATTCAAAAATAAAAACATTATAACTTTCTCAAAACCACAAAAAACTAATGTTTGCTTAAAATTCAAGATTACAAGTAAATTATGCAAAAGTATAATTTATTCAAGCTCGATGTTTGAATTCATATAACTAATTGCGAATAAACATAATCAAATAGAGGATGAAAATCTTATTTTAAAATATAAAAAATTTAAAATATAATTAAGATAATTATCGAGTTCTAACAAAATAATTAATTATTATCTTTATAAAAAAATTATATTATTAAACCAAATATAAATTACTTCCCTAAATTAAATTACAATAAAAAAATTGGATTAAAAAATTACATAAAAAATAAGGAATTTTAAATAGTTAATCATACGAATATCGATATATTTTTGTTATGCATAAAATATTGTATATTGATGCATTTATTTAATATTTAAGATTACAAGTAAATTATGTATAAGTACAACTTATTAAAACTCGATGTTTGAATTCGTATAACTAACTGCGGATAAATATAATCAAATAAAAGATAAACATCTCACTTTAAAATATAAAAATCTAAAATATAATTAGAATAATTGTCGAGTTCTAACAAAATAAATAATTATTATCTTTATAATAAAATTATATTATTAAACCAAATATAAATTAATTCGTTATTATACATAAATTAAATTATAAAAAATTGAATTAAAAAAATTACCCAAAAAATATGAATTTTAAATACTAATATGAATATATTTTTGTCAAATTTTTATGATATCTTCAAACTTATATTTTATTCAAAAATAAAAACATAATCTTTTTCTCAAAATCACATAAGACCATATTATAACATCGACTGAGATAAAGAATAAAATGAAATATTAAAATCGAGATGTATCTCGCTGCATTGCGCGAGTACCCTTCTAGTACTTTAAAGATGAAAATTTATAGCTTTATGTTTACCTCTTAATAATTTTATTAAGAGGTAACATTTGAATCATTAAGTGGTAAATTTTGTTTGACAAAATTTTTTTTGTCTCTTAATGGTTCTAAAACCCTCTAAATAGTTTTGTATCATGAACCTCCTTTAACCATTCAGCGCCCTAATTTCATTGTAAACAATTATCATACAATTATATTTCATTTTATACTATATTATGAGGCCTCTTAATTATTCTGACTATTTAATCATTCTACGTTAAAGAACCATTCAACAACCGTGAGAGAATCTACCAAAATTGAGAATTTCCATCAAACAACACAAAAACTTAATTTACACAAAATTATTAAACTTTAATCAAAGGGTTGAAAGAAATGGAAAAGAAAAAGAAAATCAAGCCCCTGGAAGAGGCGGTGGGGGGCGGGGGGTTATCGTTAATTGTCCGGCGGGAACAGCAAGAACCAGACCGGTTTCAAGATGATTCTTCTGATTCCACGACCATCGTCATCTTCTTCTTTACTCAAAATCGAACGGAAGAAATTGAACCGTTTAAATTTGATCAGTACCAGCAATTCACCCTTTACGAATTATGGTAATCATAAACCGTTCAAATTCAATTCCATATCCTGTTCAATCAAACTATCAACTTCACTCAATTCAATTAAGCCCTACGTCCAATCGGAATGGAAATCGATTGTCAAGGGCTGGATTTGCAGCGGTGTTTCGGTTTATTCGCTATCTAGAATCGTACCCAGAGTAGGGAAATTCTCTGCCGTGATGAACGTCGAAAGTTTGAGGCAGGAGGGTTTGATAATCGGGGTTTTGTTTTTGGTTCGGTTGGTATCCAGTTACTTGCAACAGTCTTTGCTTTGGGAGGCTTCGCTTCGGTCGGTGTATAAGATGAGGGTCTGTGTGTTTGAGAGGGTGTTGCAGAGAGATTTAGGGTTTTTGGAAGGTGGTTCGGGAAAATCAGTTGGTGATGTTTCCTACAGGATTACTGCCGAGGCTTCAGATGTAGCTGATACCATTTACGCTCTATTAAATGTCGGTATTTCATTTCTGTTTCTTGATTCTGTGTGTTCCAATGTGTCTGCATTAATGCATTATGTTTGTATGTATGGTTGTTTTTTAGTAATTCAATGAGCTTAATGGGACTCACAAGTCACAACTTATTCGATTAGCTATGTATACTGTTAGGTAGTGGCTTTATAATATATTTAGTGACTTATTCAGTAAAGGGATGCAAAAAGACAAGTTTTTTTTCTTTCTAAAACTACCCCTCCAATTAAAAAACAATCACCTTCCATCTATGCAAAAAGTCAAAAACCCTCCAAACAAAAATCTTCCAAATTTATAAACATAATTTAATCTATACATATGATTTTATCCAAACATGACTTAATTGATAACCAACCAAACATTAATAATATGAAGTGCTAACCTTGGGATATGGATTATGAGTCTTAGTATCTTTGGGAAATTCAGTATCAGTAATGTTAAGTGTGTCACAACTTAGGAAGCATAAATGCATAATGAATCGATGAATAGTAATCTTCAGTTGGTATACTATTGTTTTCATCAGCATAATCTTCAGGTCTGCATCTGTCCTGACCTCACTTATGTAGTGGGAATGTTTGGTAGACACAAAGTCCGGAAAGAGAGATTGAATAGCAGCCAAAAGATCTTAAGATATCTTCAGAAACTAAGGATTGTATGCTCACATTCAAGAGGATCGACAAACTCGAGATAGGTTTTCTGGTTTCAACTTCTAGATGCCAAATCTTACCAGTTGAGCCATCTCCTCAAGGTTTTCTAACTACCAATTAATGATGGGCTAGATTGGTAATTATACCCACAAGTGTTTGTAAAATAAGATGAGGTCTCTGATTAACCTGCTACAGCCACCTAGACGCTTTATGCCCTGTATCTTCAGCATTACCGTGGCTGACGCCAGTCCTACATTTGGTCTCTGTGGACCAAGGGGAAGCATTTAGTAGGTGTTCTTTTTTTGGTGGAGGGTCAAGTAAATGGTGAAGTTTGCATTTTCCTTTGAGTTTTGTTCGAACCACTTTGGGACCAAATCATGTAGTTCCTTCCATTAAGTTGATAGGCAGGTTGAAATTCCCAAGTTCATTCAGGTTTGCTCCAAAGATATTTCAGTCGGTCCAGTAACATAGAGTAGATGGATGATTTTAACTTGTTCCAACCCAAGACAAGGCTAATCAGACTCATCAAAGACCCGATATACAAATAAGAAGTGGGCTCTGACCGCGTGCCTGTTGAAGAATGAGTCGGCGACTCATAGGCAAGGATGGATAGTTTCTTTAGAGGCATGGATAGTGTTTGCTCACACTCTTGCACAAGCCGGGGATCTTCATGGAAACAGCCACTCTACTCTTTGAGATAGAGGTCAAGTCTGCCTATGTCTCCCCCCTCAAAGACCCTACTTTCGAGTGGAATTTACTGTGTCTGTTTGGTTTGGTTTAAGTTTCAGCAATAAATGCTGAATAACAAAAGAACAGGGTAAAGTTGTGGCTCTAATACCATAATTTTTTTAGAGAATTTATGCTGTGTTATTTTATTGACAATGAACTAGTTTTGTATACAACCTAAAAGACCTAAAATGCATTCCCTTATTTATGGGATTTGCTAAACATGAAAAGGAAACTTTTTGAGTATAGAGAAAATCACAAAATCTGCTACAATAGAGATATAATTCCACAAAATAAAGATTATATTTCTATACTAAAGAACAGGAATGTTAACTTCTGCCAACAATGTAGATTAACCCCCACACTTTATAGTAGATGGATTTGGGTCTGCTGATATAACCAGATGTACATTCAGCAAAGTCTTTGCAAAAGCAGGAATGCTCGACTTCTTGAAAAGCTAGGTGGACTGCTGCTTGTTTCATTCTTGCTGATAGATACCACAGGCTCTCTCTTCTAGTTAGTATGAGGATGAAATTGGAGCCATGCAGGATTTTTCTTTTAGGTTAGATTCGTTAAACTTCATCACTAAATCACCATTCTCTGGACTGTAAATACCCTGGTACTTCTTTAACTGTTCTGTATTTTTTATTTTTTATTTATGATTGTGAACATATTATAACATGTGAAAACTGATTTTCTGAGTGCGACACTTGTAGACGTCTTACCATTTTTTCATTTCTTTTTCTTTGTAGACCATTGTACCCAGTTCACTGCAGTTATTAGCAATGGCAACTCAGATGTTGGTTATTAGCCGTGCTCTCTCGTTAGTTTCTGCCTTGGTAAGCGAAAGCTTCCCTCCGTCTATTGTTACAGTATCAGCTTCTTTGTGAAATTCAATGGAAAGGCTGTGTGCAAAGGCTTCCTTCCACAACCCTTGCAAAGCCAAGGAGATTTGGTGCACTGGCTTTGCCTTTTCATTATCTTGTTGTCTATGTTGAGGGATAATGTAGTTACATGGTAATGTTGTTTGAAATGTTGAAGGTGATTCCTTTGATAGCCTTGGTAAGTGCATATTTTGGTGAAGAGCTTCGTGAAATATCAAATAAAGCTAATTTCAGTATTGCTGCTATCTCAGCTTATCTGAATGAGGTATGGTTCATGTCAAGTAACTCGTACTTTATCTTATGGTAGATGTAGTTGCCTTCTTTGTTCCTTATGTTTTTTGCACCCTTTTCACAAATTTAATCTGCAACGCCGGAGATGGGAAAGGAGCTTGTAGGGTCAGACCCCTATGTTGTGGTTTCAGTTTTGCTCCACCTTTGAACTACCGCACCTACAATACTTAAATATAAAAAGCTCCATTGTTGCATGTGGTATGGCTCCTAAATTGGATGGTTTTCTGTTATATGTGTAAGCTCCATTGGAGACGCACATTTAGGCTTCAAGGACTCTTCCCTCTTGTGAGAGCATTCTGGATGTTTTAACAAAACTACCCAACTAACAGTACTTGCTCACTTTTTCTCTCATTATGGGTGTTGGCTAAATGTATGGATTATGGTACTTGGTGTACAGCCTTTGCTCGTAAACTTAGCATAATGGACTAGTGGTTTTTACACAATCTTGCGGGTATGATGATTTAATTACTATGTTTGCTAGATAGAGTGAAATCCCTTCTATATTTCTTAATGAATTTTCTTTCGCAATCCCAGTCATACATGCTCTCTCATTCCGCTATGTTTTATGTTCTCGTCTCTCCTATTTGTAAATATAACTTCTACTTCTTAAGAACAGTAATAACTCACTGAGGGTTTCTTTCAAGGATTTAAAATAACACTTGAACAAAGAGCTTAATTCTTTTTATTCTGAAAGATCCTGTTGGAGCATGAGTTTTACTCACCAACCAGTGCTATTCATTCTTAAGAACAATACCTGCTTTTAAGATACTTGTGACAGCTGAAGTACGACGACCCCTCTCTTATTGTCTGATTCATGTTAAATTGTTAATGGTAAATGTTGATGTGCTTTAGGTTCTCCCATCAATCCTCTTTGTGAAGGCAAATAATGCAGAATACAGTGAACTTATGAGGTTTGAGAGGCTTGCTCATGCTGACCTATATGGACGTTTAAACAAGAAGAGAATGAAGGCCTTGGTTCCTCAGATGGTACAAGCAACCTTTTACGGGGTGCTACTTCTGATTTTCATTGGCTCATTGATGGCTGCAAGTGATTTTCTTGATTTTTCCGGTGTGGTTTCGTTCATAACATCATTGGTTCTCTTGATTGAGCCAATTCAGGTCATTCCCTTTGCCCCTTGCCTTCTCTACATTTTACTTGTTTCATACTTTCAGTACCCTTTTGTAAATATTTACACTCTCATCACATATTTCGCCATGCTACTCTTCCTTTCACATATTTTGTACTCCCTTTGTCCCAAAAATTCATCACTTGACTATGCACATATTTTAATAAAACATTAAGTGTACTGATTGAATGTCTCAATAAACCAAACGAAACCTGGTGAGTCCCACACTGAAACTTGTGAACCACAATCAAAGCTATTAATTTCAAGTGTTGATTACTAAGGATTACTGAGGGAGGTAAAGCAGGTTTAAAAAGTTACCCAAAACGTAATTGTTGTATTTTTTGAGGGGACAACCCAAATGGAAAATGTTGCATTTCTTTGGATAGAAAGTACATGTTTGGATTATTGACTATGAGTATTAAACTGGTGAAGCGAAATATTTATGCAAGTAATGTTAAATTTATGTGGAACCATTGAAGGTGGGTGAAACACTAGCCTAGCAGCATTCTATTTATCGCACAGTAGTCTATTGTCCTTCGGCGTGTAGCTCAGTTGGCAAAGGGCTGGGCGACTTTGCCCAAATACAAGAAAGGTCCTGGGTTTGATCCCTGGTCTCCCTCCCCCCGTCCCGCCCCGCTAGCCTCATCTGTTGAGCCAAAAAATGTCTCCTCACATTGGCGTCCTTGGAGGTGGGTTCTGTGTGGGGCTGGTTGGATTGCTGGTAATTAACTTTTTGCCCAAATACTGATGGATTTTCTGTTCAGGCCAACTCAGTTTGGCTTGCTATTTTTCCTTGTGAATTGAATAATGCTTATCGGTTCTTAACCATGAGAAGCACAAAACTGTTAGTGTGACTGCCATTATTGGCTGGCTTGGGTCAGATATTGTTTTCTTTCTTGTTATCTTCTTTTAATAGTTGAACTCATCATGACGTGTAGCCAACTTTGATACTAGAAATTTATGGATTTGAAAGAGAGATCATTGAAACTTGGGCTAAGATTTGTCAAATTTGGTTAACCTTCTTTATTCAAGTGCTCAATTCTAATAATTGTTCAAGATGTTTTTTTTTTTTTTTGAGTAATTGGAGCTTATAGCTACCGTGGAAGCTTGCACATATAAAACTTTTAATGCACAGATGCACACAAACAACATAGAAATTATATACCCAACTGATTACAGCACTACAACTTTGTATATGTGAGAATACGTGGAACGCCCAGATGTACTCTGATACAAACTGATATGAAACCAAGTGAAATTGATATTGCAACCGAATGATTAATGGATTCCAGCAATTCAAGAAGCTGTGGTCTCCCTAGGCTCATGCCAAAACAGTGTTTACAAATCAGATGCCCACTCCAAAGCCCCTCACACCTATTTAAGAGATTACTCCTCCTACTTTTCCAATTTTACTCCTTGTAACAGAATACTATCAAATCCAAAATTGACCCTGCCCCTATTGACTACTGTGATTACAACCTTTAACCTTATTAAAACAACTACCCCTCCTACCCCTTTACTCCTTCTGGCCAAGTAACTAATAGCATCCCTCCGGGGTGTATTAGAATACCCCTTCACGCTCCGCACCTCATTTATATTAAACCTCACACATTACCTACTTGTACCATTTAGGCATTAGCTACTTGTACTTTGTTTACCCAGCTTACTAAAATGACTTGACCCTCGGGGTATAACATATCACTTATTATTGTTCATCCCATGAGGAGTTGTCTTAAAATTTCATCGGTCTGATGCTAAGAAATACGCAGGAAGTGGGAAAAGCATACAATGAACTAAAGCAAGGAGAGCCTGCAATTGAGCGCTTGTTTCAGCTGTCAAGTTTCAAGCCCAAGGTAAATCTTGAGCTTTTATGAGCTCAGATTATTTAAAAGGTATCCAATTCACTAGTAGACCTGCGGTGTTTCTATGTTCTCTATTACCTGCATGGACTACTACTTGCTGTCGTTTGTGATTATTTGAGCTTTCATATGGTTGAAGAATCAATTCTTAATTAGACAGAAGGTAGGAACTTACTTGTTTGGATGGCAGGTTAATAAGTGGGTTTTTAAGTTCTGGATAAATGCAACGACAACTGTGAGAAGCTTCATCTAAATTTATTTTAAAAATGCTCATTTCCTAAGCATCATTCATAATAATCTTATGGAACAATTGAAACCTACACCCTGGAACACTTTTCAATGCTCTTACACCATGCTCAATTTTGATCTTCCTTGGCTGTTTTCTTCAATTTGACTTGTGGAAGGTCTACCCTTTGTAGGTAATTATCTCCATCCATTGCACGAGAAGTGCAATAACACCTTTTGGGAGTTCCTCATTCCATTTTAATCTGCATTTTGACATATTTTTAATAAAGATCTTTGAATCATGTATTTGCGAAGAAGTCAAAGGGCTTCTATATAATAGTAATGAATGGCTACTAAAGATGTTTGCCATGTTGTTGCAACTTTCATGTGACTAAAGGAAATATACATCTATAAAAATAGCCCGTGCTTGAGTTGCATGTCCATTGGTATCAATAACTTTGTGATTTGATCTTCTGTGGGCCTTAAACGAGGGTTATTTAGGAGAATAACCTTCTGACAGATTTTTAAATGCACGACCTTCTGACAATTTTGAGGCATTCTTTTGTTAGGCAGACACATATTTACATCTGTCAGAAGGTCAAGAGTTCTTTTGTTTGGTCAGGTAGATGCGTTTTTACATCTGTCAGAAGGTTATTCTCGTAAATAACTCCTTAAATGATTGACATATTAGTCATTTCTAACACCTAATTAGTGATGTTCACAAACCAGCTCTTTATGACATCTGCATAGGTTATTGAGGAAATAAATGAAGTTCATGTAGAGTCTGTTGCAGGAGAGGTAAAATTCTGTGAAGTCTCGTTTAGATATGGTGACAGTCTGCCTTTCATATTGAACAAGTTGGATCTTCATGTCAAAGCTGGAGAGACGGTTGCTCTTGTGGGTCCCTCAGGGGGAGGAAAGACGACTCTTGTAAAGTTGCTTCTTCGCCTCTATGATCCTCTATGTGGTAAGCCGTCTGCATGTCATCCCCCAAGAACTGATTATCTTTTTTATTTTAATTTACCAATGTGAAATATTGATCCTTGTTAATAGGTCATATTCTCATTGATAACCGTGACATCCGGAGTATCTCTTTGGAAAGCTTAAGAACGCATGTTGGACTGGTTACTCAAGATACAGTAAGTCCGAATTAATGGTGGATGTATTATTAGTTCTCGAGTGTTAGCTGATAAGTGTGGAACCGTATACTTAATTATAGAGTTTTTTAAATGAGCCCGGAAAATCGTTATCAGCCCATTATGGATGATCACATGATGAACATATCAATATTTTAGAAAAATGGAAAAAGACCAAAATGCCTCTCATTCAACTGATGGAAGTTAACATTCATTAGTGGGAGGTACCAAAACCAAACAAAAGTGCATAAGATAGTGGCAAATTTGGGACAAAAGTGCATCTCGATCTACTTTTACCTTCCTAACATACGAAATGTCATTAGACACTTTTTTCAGGGACAATAGCCGAAAACATTGGGTACAGAGATCTGATGACTAAAATCGATATGGAGAGAGTAATGCTTGCAGCACAAACTGCAAATGCAGATGAATTCGTTGGAACTCTTTCTGAAGGATATGCGACAAATATTGGGCCTCGGGGCTCACTTTTAAGCGGAGGGCAAAGGCAAAGGTACCATGCTTAAAACAGTAGACCTTAAGTATTGAAAATATACATGTTAAGAATCTGTTACACACCAATGATCAAATGCTAAAACCATCAATTAAAATGGGATGCGTACAAAGGGTTTCTCAGTTTCCTAGACACTGAGAGCTCTCCCAAGAGTGTTGCCTATCTCAATTTCACATAAAACTAATCGATACCCCTTAAACCCCAAACCCTTTATTTATACTTGATAGCCTGCATTAATAACTTGTAATAGCATTAACTACTTGCACCTTCATTTAACGTTGACCTTGCCTTCTAGTGTTGACCATTTGACCCAGGGTACAACATAATTTAAATTCTAGGACTCGTTTGAGAGGGTTAGAGAGTTGCCCGATAGGTTATCAATGTCCTACGTTAGATAAGGAGTGGTGTAGTGTCTCGTACCTTTTCTATGTTGTGCTATACTCGCCTTTTTATATGTTGCATACTTTTATTTAATCTTGCTTCTTTTTAGAAATCGTTGGTTCTATCACTTCAAAATTTTCCCAAAACTTTTTCGCATTCGCCTTCTTGCGAGCCAGAGGTCTTTATGGAAACAACCGCTCTACGCTTTCGTACCTCTGAGTGGGATGTTGGGTTAGTTTAGTTTTATTTTATGGACTCGTTTGGGTCAATAAATACCCATCAACCGGGGTTTAAATGGTTAATGGTTATCACTGGATCAATATGAGCCTGCATTTTCGATCTTACAGACTGATTTCGGTTTTGTATAAATGCAGACTAGCTATTGCCAGGGTTCTTTATCAGAATCCTTCTATTCTAGTTTTAGATGAAGCAACTTCTGCCCTGGATACGAGGTCTGAGATGTTAGTGAGACAAGCTTTGCAGCGCTTAATGAAAAATCGTACTGTAAGTACAAACTAATGATTTATGAATTAATCAACTCCAAACTTGAGGGCCAGCTCAACCATCAAATAGAGGCTAGGCCTTGAGACTCTTCCTCCTCATAAGTCGCCAGTTCGAGTCTCCTTAACTAATCCCATGGCAAGTCACGACTGCAGGCTGTAAATCTCCCGGTGGCCACAAGCGCATATGTAGATGGCAGGATTCAAACGGTTGATTTTTATCATCCCTGTCTCTTTATTCACCACGGTACCACCCTTGTGGTTTCCACTAGGAATTTCCTGGCTGTTATTTTCAAGGCCCCATGGGATTAGTCGATGTGTGCGCAAGCTAGCTCAAATACCCACGGTTAAAGCTCAACTTGGTCTCCCCATAGGTAACCTGTTTGAGTACGATTAGGGTCACTGGGGATTTTCCTGGGTATTATATTCAAGGTCCCATGGGATTAGTCGAGGTGCACACAAGCTGGACCGAACACGCACAGTGCGGTTACCCCAAAAACAGTCAACTCCAACCTTGTGTCTTGGTTATGCCAAATTTCTCTCTCAAGTGCTGCATTTACCCATGGTTGCTGAATCATTGATGATTGGTCATGTAGGTTATTGTGATTGCCCATCGCTTGGAAACTGTTCTAATGGCGGAACGAGTTTTTCTTCTAAACGATGGAAAACTGCAGGAGATATCCCGTTCGTCCCTCCTAGTTGAACAACATGATTCGTTGGCATCAAGTGGACTTGTGATATAGTTATATGACGTAAAAGAAGTCAGCATCCCTTTTGCTGTGAAAAGGAACTTGAAATTATGGCGTGCAGAAAGATCCAAGTTATGCGCAAAAATGCAGGTTTTTCCGTCCATTTGTCCCATCATCATTGGTCTTCCCTTTGGAACATTCGAGATTATGTTAATAATAGTCGATTAGCAATGTTGTTTACCGCTTAATCGGGTTGTTGACAAGGATGGAATTTGGTTTTTAGTAAAGTTATATCAGGCACCTTTGAGTGTGTTTAAGGGCAAATTCCAATATGTCATCTATGTTCTTGACAGGTTTCCAAGAATTCTGCCTTTATTAATGTTCTTTTGACAACCGTGGGAATTCAGGTCAGCTTACACACGTCAACTAATCCCCGAGCGACCACAAACGACGTGGAGTAATCGCAAATGAACCTCTATGGCCGCAACAAACGGATTCCTCTAGGCCTTAAGCCCTTAACCAGTGTGTGTGTGTGGGGGGGGGGGGTTACCTTTAGTATCGTTTTGTTTTAACCCACTAGAGTTTCCGCTGTTTATTTAGGTAACTCAACAATAAATAACAACTTATTTTTACTTCCATCTTTTATATTGTTTTTCTGCTTTAAAATCCACGTGCTTTTAAAATGATTTTGTATTGATCTTTGAAAATTGAATTTGAATGACTTGATGGTTTTCAAAAGTAGAATAACTTTATAGGCCGTTTACCAAACACTTATCCGGTAAGTACTTACTAGGTAACTTACCTTATCGGATGAACATGTCAAGGATCGAGAATCTTACCCTGGAAAAGCGATGGTAAGGATCGAGAGTCTTACCTGTTAAGTGAGGGTAACTATTCTTACCCGTTAGCGCTTTACCGGGTAAATTGTTATATACGATCTTGTTTTGATGGACTAGAATCTTATCCGGTAAGGTAAGTGAGAGTGTTGACTCTTACCTGTACGCACTTATCGGGTAAGCGTTTGGGTAAATGGTGTTTAAAGGACTTCCATTGTACCAATTCCACGACTATCTTGGAAGAGGTAAAATTGTGTTTCAATGACATGTGGGTGGTATTTGAAGCCAAACTCTAGATCTGTCATTCATTCTGCAAGAATGTCCATCTTCTTACATGGAGAACTTTAGAAAACCTTGCGTTATACCAGCCATGCACCAAGTTTCCCGAGTTAACCACCACATCTCTCATCCTGAACAAAGTCTATGCAAGCGGTCGACGACGGTTGGGCACAACTTTGGATTTGAATCAGATTCCGGATCAATCTATATTGATTGATTGCCTCCATTATGTTGTTGCTAGCAAATACCAGTGGAATACCCCATTCAAGAATTGTTTTGGACCCAATCTATAGAAATCAATAGAAAAGGCAAATCTCTTATGATACACCAAATCCGACTCGGTTATTATTTGATACGAACCGCGAGAGCAGTACCAAATTGAGACAAACTTTGAATACTAAAATATGACCTCAAAATATCAGGTGTCAAAGTCGACCAACAAGATGATAGGGGATACCTTCATCATTGAGAGGGAATCAACCTGAATCACCAGTGAATTCCCCTAAATGACCGCTCAATCGGCACAAAGAGAGCTAGGATGCACCTGATCATCCCCTTTATGCTTTGCATGAACATTTTTCAATTGTGTAGTAGACATCGGTATAAATTCAGCAAATCATGCTATCACCATCTATAAATTCAGCAAATCTGTAAACCAAGTCAAACAAACCTAATATATCTTATCCAAACGTATCGTGGGTAAGATGTACGCAGAATGAAGGTTTCCGACAAAACCCACGATAGATTCGGCAAACCTGTAGCAACTAGTAACTACCAATTTTACCATCAAACTTACTGCAATTACTAGAAATATCAAGCCAACCCAGTAAATCTCAGTATCTCGCATAGTGTAAGGTAAGAGGGGTAAGATGACTTGAGACTTTTCCTCTATCCAAAAGGTAAAGACGTTGTTTTCATGAAAACCTCCGGCTCACAAAACAAAAATTAAAAGAAAATGGTTGCCATGGATTTAGTGGTGTATTTATTATGGGATTAGTAACATGATGGTAAAGAGAGTTGGCACCAAATGCATTATGCTTTAATTTGCATCCTAATCACTATGTTCTAAATTAAACAAACAATTGCATGAATCATTAGGAATAGATTATTTATCTTAACTTGCCTATTACATAATTTACTATCTATTAGTAAACCTGCAACCTTTGCTTGGGTTTTAATTTGATCCCCTAAAAATACATAATTTTTTATGTTATTTCCACAATATATTTGATGTTTATTGAGGTTTAAAGATACCGAAAGCGAACTTCTGGTGATTTTTATTCAGAAGTACAACATTCCCGGATGGATCATGATTCGTCTAAAACGCTGCACTGAAGAAGAAAGACAGTTTTAGTACAGAATGGTGAAGCAAAGAACCTTAGTTTTATCAAAAAAATGAAACCAAACGAACCCAGTATATCGCATCCGGAGATGGGGTCTGTGGGTGGCATGTACGCAATTCTAACCTCTGTCCCAGAGAGTAGAACGGTTGGTTTATTAACAAGGGTAAATTGCATGAAAATATAACCTACTTCGTTCTAATTCCTATCTTAGCAACATATTTTCAAAACATTGAAGTCCATGGGTAACCGGTTCAAGTATTAACCGGTCAACATGCTGACATGGCGTATGATGTGGCATACAACTCGGTATTATTTGTTGATGTGGTTGTGCGGCTGGATCACCTCCTTTTCAGGGAAAGCTAATGCTTGTCGGTATTTTGTGATTTTTTTCGTACACCAGGTCAACATGGTAACCGATTAATTACTTAATTATTTGAGATAAGATGTCAAAATGAAGGTTTTGAAAGTAAGTTACCCAAATAGAAATCATAACAAAGTACGTTACATTTTCATGCAATTTTCTTTATTAACAAATCGGTGAAAATTTACCTGCTTCACTAGTCTTCCCAGTTGAATGTTGAAACATCTTCAGGTGGTTCGACCCAGATGCTCTCGAATGGATCTTGTTCTCCCCAATCATGACACTGCTTCCGCGGGTAGTATCTATGGTGATCTAAAGAGTATGATATGCATCGTTTGCCATAAAAACGAACTTTAGAGAAATAAACGCTATTCCTCATCATTCCAAGAAGATCAGTTCTTGCATGGGACGACAGAAAACTAGCAAATAGCGTCACACCTTCAAGGGTTTTCATTTCGACCCACTCTTTGTTAGCCTGATCCAGCTTATAAATAATCGGGTTTTCACTGTAACAAGTATAGATAACGAAGATATCTCCCCTATGCTCGGCCATAAACTTTCCCTTCCACCAATTTTTCACAAAAAAGTTATCAGGACACCTGGGTGGAGGCACGATACGGATAGTCCATGTGAGTTCCTGTGGATCGTAAACTCCCAGCCAGCCGGTTAGACTCAAACAATAGAAAAGCCCATTGCAGAAAACAAGCTTATTCCAGATACTGCTAACAAATGGCAACCGATTGTGGTAATTAACAGTAGTCCACGCTGTTGCTCCTGGATGGCAAGTGCTGATAGCAACAACGGTAGGACTAACATGCTTAACAGTAAAAACGATGCAGTTAGGAGATTTAGGAGAGGTAGAAAACGCCACTATTTGATAGGTCATCTCGAATCTTGGCAATTTGATCATTTCTCGTGTAAAGGGGTTAAAAAATAGCACGCGTTGTGTTCTTGGTTTGTAAAGCAGCAACCAACCGTCTTTATTGTAACAAATCCTGCAGCCGTGTAACTCTGGCAATTCAAGAGAGTATGTTTTGCGTTGAGAAGGATCGTAGAACTCAAAACGGTGACCGAGTTTGGGGAAGTACATAAGCCATGGTGGCTTGTTTACCACTCTGACTGATAGGGCAACTGAGAACCATTGTTTGCAAACTGCAGAAGTGCGAATGTTGTCCTTTAAAGTTAATTGGGAAATTATAAATTCAAGGAGTTCGACTGGAAGGAAAGACCACGCCTCCTGCTCCTCCTGCTCGATATTTCCCTTTGTTGAAACTCTTGTATCATCTTTAAATGTTACTGCTAACCTATCAAACACAAAATTATCTAAAAGAGTCACGTATACATAAAAAAATTCGACCTGTATCATCTTTAAGTTTCTTCACTCCCCTGATATCATACAAATACGTTTTTGAATCTTTTAAACTGCATCCTAGGATGCACATGACCGGTGCTTGGGTGCCACAATTTAGAAAGAAAAAGAAACCAAGTTGCGTGTAGCTTACGTACATATATGTCGAATAAAATGAGTAACTTGACAAAAAAAGAACAAGCATAGAAGCATTTAAAATCATACTACAATAATCCATGGAACTGCTTACATTATAAATCTAACAAATAATCACTGGAAATAGAAGACTGGCAATCACAATAATTAGTTAAAAGTAAATCAAGTCATCATCACTGTTAATAAAAATATGGTCTTTACTTTGATTCATCGTTTTAAGGTTATAAAGAAATAGAACACATGCATATCTGAAGAGTATTGGGTGCACACAGATATATTACAATTGAGTCAAATTTAATGTACCACATCAATTGAAGTGTGTTAGAAATCAATCATCTAGGGTTCAAGAAATCAAACCAGCTGCATCCAAAGTTTTAGGTTTCTAATACCTACTTCATCTACTAAATTTACAAAGGTAAAAATGGAGTGGAATCTGATAAAAGTTAGAGATTCATCGTGTAATTACATTATTAAATCAATGTACCAAAACCATTAAAGACTGAACATTATGAAGCTACGAATGCACACAAACTCAGACCCCTGATTTATGATCAACAAGAGAATTCAAGAATTTATAAGTTCGAAAGCACAATCCTCTTGTCTATAGTTGATTATCTCCATCACACCCAGCAGAAAACCTCTGTAAACCTAAAATCCTCGACATCTCTTACTAAGCCCACAAGCCCCATCAAACAACAAGTCGTGTATATCTAATTTGGAGCAAAAACCTAAACCTTTTTCTTAGAAACCCTAAACCCTAAAATTGTGAAGCTTATAAATTTCAACAATCCAAACAGATTGTCTAACAAATGCATATACAATCAAATCAAATGAATAATAAACGAAATGCACCCAGCATCCAACGATTCAATTGAATTACGAAAAACCATCAACTACCTACACACCAGACTGAATTTTTCAAATTCAGGTTACTTTGGTGCAAATTCACTTGTGAAACACAGATATCATAGCTGAATTGTAAAGATAAACATCGATCTCGTATTTACAACCCTAAATAACCAAAATTTATGAAGACCTAAAGTACAATTAGAAAGGAAAATCAAAACATGAAACAAATCGATCGTAATTGACTTGAATTCGTTCAAGAAACTTACAATTTGAGTCTCCTTCTCTTCCTTCCGGCCATAACCACAACCAGATTAAGCTTCTCCCACCACTTTGTGTGTGTTAGTGAGTGAGAGAGAGAGAGAGAGAGAGAGAGAGAGAGAGAGAAAGGATACGTTGAAACGATGATGAGAAAGACGGTTGTCACAACGTGAGTGCAGCTTTGTGTGCTAGTATAACACGTGTAAATAACAGAGTTATCTGATGTGACGCCGACCACTGGTAGTTTGTGAAGCCAACCAATGAGATCTGAGTGTTAGAGTCGTTTGTTGACGTGGCAAGTTTTGATTAGATCGGAATTTGGTAGTTGAAAGACATGCGGTGGAGCTCTGGTGTGTGTGAGTCCGAAACTAGATCTGCGTGGGAATCACAACGTTTTCGGTGGTCATTTGTGTGATTAGCTTTTTAGCTTTTAGTTTTCTTTTCCTTAAACCTTTAAATAAAGGAGTACCTCACTCAATGATTATTTCAATAAGTGTATTTGACAAGTGTTGAATGGTTTGATGTATAATTATTAAGTGGTCAGAATAATTAAAAAACTCTCATTATATAGTATAAAATGAAATATAATTGTTTGGTAATTGTGTACAATGAAATTAGGGCTCTTAATAGTTAAGAGAGATTCATGATACAAAATTATTCAGAGGGTTTTAAAACCATTAAGAGGCAAAAAAAAATTGCAAACCAAGATTTGCCTCTTAACGGCTCAGAGGTTGCCTCTTAATGTAACTATTAAAAGATAAACAAACAACGCCTCACCCAAATTGACCTCTTTCCCAATTTCTTTCACAATATTTATTTTGAACCTAGTGAAACACCAAAAAAACTTAAACACAGATATGCAATCGCGACGGTCAAATATGCAATTGTGACAGCTCGGTCTGCAATTGCGACGATAAACTGGTTGAATTTGACTTTTTTTTGTCTTTTAGCTAGGTCTGCAATATGGGTATTACGGATATAGTAACATATGTGTCAACCTGAGAGAGAAATGGTAAATAGGCCAATTTTGAATTAGAGGAAATGGTCATTTGAGCTAATTTATCTAAGTCGGCGGTTTTTTTAAAAGATGTTAAAGTGTGAAATTTTATTTCAATTCTGATTAATAAGAGGTGGTGTTAAAATCTGAAATCTTATTTCATTTCTGATTAATAATAGGTGGTGTTGAAGTCTGAAATCTGAATCTATAAAAATTATTTGTTTTTGTAAATTGACAAACATCTAAAATCTGAAATTTGAATCAATAGTTTGTTTTTGTAAAATCAGCTACGAATATTTTGCAAAATTCTCTTGATTTTGATAAAATTTCTATTGATGAAATTCATCTCAACAATTGTTTAACAGATGGAACATAGTAAGAACTTTTTGGATACCTTTCAGACTTCTTATGCTATAGGAAATGCGGCCGGTGAATTTGTTTGTGAAAAGATCGATACTTTTGATAGATGATAGATCGCCGATAGAAGTTCTTATTTCACATTAATCTTCTAAGCTAACATATACCTACAGACATTGCACACACACACACACACACACACATATATATATATATACAGGGTCGACCCTGGCCATGTGCAGTCCGTGCGGTCGCACAGGGCATCAAAGCCTAAAGGGGCATCAAGTTGTCATTTATTACTAGTTTTGGGTTTAATAATTTGGGAATTGAACAATTGAGCTTTAACTATAAAAACAGACCCAATGCCTAGTAGTGATGAATACTGAATGCACATCGTTGGAAAAAGTTGGAAAAGTTTTTGTTTGTATAAAGTTGTCTGTATGAATTTATTTGTTTGTATAAGTTGGAAATTTTTTTTGTTTGAGAGAGTTTTTTCGCAGATGTAAGGACCCTTTTTTTAGTTGGAAGGGACGTGTTTGGGAAAAAAAAATTGGCTTTCTATATAAAACTCCCCCTAAAAGCTTATTGGATAAGTCACTTTCTATATCATTAAGTCACTATGAAACAGTCATGCATAGTTGAGCGAATAAGCTGTTAGTTCCATTAAACTTATTAAGTTGCTAACAGATAAGCCTTTAGTCTTTAGTCTTTAGTCATTAGACATGTAACTTTTGAGTTTAACTTTTTGCTTGCTATGACAGTAACTTGAATGTAATTTACTATCTTAGTTAAAAACTAATTGTAATTTTCCTTATCTTTTAAATCTCTTATATTGAAATAAAGTTTTTATTTTGTTAATTTTAATTTGGAAAAGGGAAAACTGGAAAAGAAGGAAGCACGATCTTAATCCAGGATTTATCATTTTATCATTTATATTTTCTATTCGAGGTTATGGTTTTTATGCTCCCCTCATTGTATTTTTTTTATTATAATTAATAAAAATCAACATGGAAATGAGATACTTAGCTTAAATAAGTTCTAAACTCTTAAAAAATCGCATGTTTAGTTGGCTTTAAAAAATAGGGTTAGGGGCATATTTTATTATTTTTGCACAGGACATCAAAAATCTTAGGACCGGTCCTGTGTATATATATATATATATATATATATATATATATATATAGAGAGAGAGAGAGAGAGAGAGAGAGAAAGGTGGGGGCGTGCATTTCATATGGGTGATGAAAGGACTTGGCGTCCCTGGCGGAGAAAGAAGCAATAACCAAAGAGAATAAGAGAAAAAGGGAATTAAGATATTAGTTAACCTCTTATTTATTCAGATCCTATTAAGTGATAAGAGACTTTGAAAAAAAAGAAACAAAACAAACAGTCTGAATTACAGATCGTCTAAACGAATCAAATATAAGTGATAATTAAAAGCAAAAAACAAAAAAGGCCTAACAAAAATACTGAATATTGTGATAAAAGTAAAAAGTAAGGTTATATTATTTATTGGAAAGAAATTAAAAATATTTGAAAATGCATGTATGAATCAACTTAACAAATTATTTATGTGTATATTTTTAAATTTTTTTTTTTAATAATTCACATTTTAATCTTTTTTAACCTCTTGTTCTGATTTTTTTCAGGATATTTCACTTTTTTATTTAAACATCTTACAATTATGTTATTTTTATAAATAACTGAGTTAATGAATGAACAAATCTTCAACCTTCATGTAGAATTTATACTCCCTCTATTCTGTCTCGGAATTATAGGCATTTTCATTAGTTAGGGGTTGTTTACCTAGGTGGCGTTTGTTTTTTAAGAGGTGCTGAAGTCTGAATTCAATTATGATATTTAATGGGTGGTGTTGAAGTCTGAAATCTAAATCAGTCAACACTATCGCCTACTTATCAAGTAAGATTTTATTCATTAAAACGCATCGTATGCAACAATTTATCMCGGTAAGCGCTAACCATGGTAAGAGTCATCGTCCTCACTTACCGGGTAAGACTCTCGATTATTGCATTTGCTCTTACCGAGTAAGATTATTAGTCCTTGTCATATTCATTCGGTAAAACAAAGTGACTTGATAAGCGTTTAATCGGGTAAGCGTTTGGTAAACGACCCCTTAAGGGCTGTTTGGATCATGGCAATTTGGTGGAATTGAAAGGAGTTGGAATGTCCAATCCTTTGACCAAATTCCAAATATGATGTTTGGTTCACATATTATAAGCGAAKAAATCCTTTCAATTCCTACAAATTCATTCGGTCACCGATTTCACAATTCCACTTGATGTACCAAGGATTTCAAATTCCTTTCCTACGAATTCCTTAGCCCTCATTCAAATTTCATATACTAGTAATATAAGTGAACAATTTCAAATTTTATCTGATGTTAATAATGTAATTTGGTTTAATGGTAATTTTAATTTTTTTTTTTAAATGACGAAAAAATCATAAAAGGTCATTTGTTGATATTTAATTTCCGATTCCAAAGTTGAATTTCGTGAACCAAACAAAAAAAATTCCAATTCTGTTAAGAATTCAATTCCAATTCCATGCAACCAAACGCAATCACAAGTCATGGTCAAATTCCATCAGATTCCATTCCATTCCTTCAAAGTCAAATTCATTTGATGAATTCCAATTCCATTAAATTCCATTCTACGAACCAAACGCCCCCTTAGTTTCCATTTTCTCATTCTACCCTCAATTATGAGATGGAGAACGTTTGTCTATCTATTATTAAGAGTAAAAATGTCATTTAGTTACTTAAAAAGTGTAATAGTTATACATTCCTAAAATCGTGTCATTTTCATCGTACGACAATTATTTTGGGATGGTGGAGTAATTAAACGAGTTGATTTAAATTAGAAAACAATTTTTTTTAAGAAGGTAAAAAGTGAACGTTAAGAAAGTGTTCATATGTTTCCTTCAAAAAAAAAAAGTGTTCATATGTGAATCAGTGAAAATTCTGAAAAAAATCTATTTGAAGATGTATATGTGAACCAACATTATAGATTATTCGTATGGATTATCATATGCATCTTCAAATGTATTTTTTCAATGATTTACATATGAACTTGTCCTTGACATTTCTTTCTTACCTTTTCACGATATTTAACATTTTTATTTGAACATGTTACTGTTAAATAGAAGACTGTGTAGTATAAATACATTCTTAATGTAAATATGAAATACACCTTTCATAGGTAATATCAGTTTTTCTTTATGAAGTTTCTAGATTATACTGGTAAGACGGACATAACTGTAATGGATATTGAGAGGACTAATAGTCGAACCAGATTTTAACAAACTTGAAAAAGCTTATCCACGATAACCTTTGTTTTGTTATTAATACAATTAAAACCCAATTAAAATTGAATTCCCGTTCCGGTTCTCGTTCCCAAACCAACACATCGTCAAATGCTATTCAGCTAGATGTGCCTGAAACCAATTGTGCTGTCATATAACGTGAAGAAAAAAGATTGAAAACGACTATCGACGATATCTAGTTTTTAATTCCATAATGGATATGATACTATTACATTTTATGATACCACAAGTTTAGTAAAAACTTGATGGACCATTTTACCCTCGTAAAAGCTTATAAATATGTGTCTGATTGGTTTGAGTTTGGCTCCAAAGATCAAAAGTACTTGGAGGTCTCATGTTCAAATCTAAAAATCCCCTTGTGGCCACGGAGGTCCAAATGCGGTGATTCCGGGCTATCTGCATAGCATGTGGTCGCTCTGGGATTAGTCGGCTCGCATAGCGGGTTGGACATCCAGGTTAATCAAAAAAATGGTGAATTTTTTCCTTCATGCTTGAAATTCAATTCTACATCTCTCATAGAGAAAAATTGCAAAGAAAATAAAAAGACCGCGATACTTATTATGTATCAATGTAAGGGGTCGTTTACTAAATACTTATTTCATAAGTGTTTACCGGATAAATTTCCTTATCAGATGAACATGAGAAAGACCAATAATCCTACCGGGTAAGAGCAATGAAAAGGATGGAGAGTCTTACCCGGTAAGTAAGGATGACGACTCTTATCCAGGTAAACACTTACCCAATAACTTGTTGCATTAGATATGTTTTGATGTATTAAAATCTTACGCATCAAAATAAATTATAGTGTTGACTCATATCAGTAAGCACTTACCAGGTAAGCATTTAGGTAAACAGCCCAACTTCAAAAGAAAATTATTTGATACCCTGTTATTAAATATAATGGCATCATCATCATCTAACTCTAAATCAGATATTTCATTGTATATTAGTAGATGAACATGGATAACAGTCGCATTATATAAATGATGCACAGTCATAAGATGTTTTGTAATATGATACAGTTTTCCGAACAAATTGCATCTAAACTAAACGTATTTTCATACAACTGTCATTTTATAAAACACACTTTCAAAAGTCGCGAGTAAATTGGTTTATTTTGAAGAACATATTTTCAAAACATTGAAAATCTAAATATTTTTAAATTATAAACCTTTAAATAATTTTTTTCTACTGTAATCGCTTTAAAATGTCTTTTGAAAATATGTTTTTCAAAATGACAATCAAATGGAAGAATGTGTCTTTTAGACGTAGTTTGCTCTTTCTGTTAAGACTTAAGACTAAGGTGCTTTTTACTAAATGTTTATTCGGGTAAACGCTTACCAAGTCACTTTACTTTACCGGATGAATATGACAAAGACTAAAAATCTGACCCGGTAAAAACGAAGACAAGAATCGAGAGTCTTACCCGGTAAGTGAGGACTAAGACTCTTACCATGGTTAGCGCTTACCGAGATAAATTGTTGCATACGATGCGTTTTAGTGAATAAAATCTTACCCGATAAATAAACGATAGTGTTGAATTTTACCGGGTAAGTGTTTAGGTAAACGGCCCCTAACTGTTTGTGAACAATAACTGGTAACCAACTCCGTTTGTTTCAAGTTAACATAAATCATTCATTTGTCATGGATTTCGTTTGACTCTAGTCATAATTATGAATCAGTCGAACAGAATGTCTCGAGTTATCCTTTTTTCCAATTTTTGCTTATAAGTTATAACTCATTCCCGTATCTAGATGTATATTTGAAAACCACCTTTTTGAGTTCAAAGGTCGAAATAGAATAATTCTACCAAGGACCGGGTATATGAATATTATAATCTGTATATAAATAATTAATAAGTTTAGGAATAAAACAAATATATAAATATTATCATGGACCAGGCACACAAATAGATCTCGATCTGACTACAACCCTATTAAGCAACGAATGATTTTGAACAAAAATTGTCAATTCCTCAATTACATGCAACGGTTTATTTTATTTGGAGTAAATTATGATTCACGTCTGTGTGGTTTATTAATAATTTGATTTGTGTTTTATAAATTACAATTTTTGTTTTTATGGTTTATAATTTATAGATATTTTCGTCTCTAGAAATTCCTACATTTTTAAGTACAAGGGGACTAAAACAATACAGAATTATAGACCACAAAACAACAATAATTTGTGAATCATAAGAATGTACTACTGATCATAGGGACAAAAACCTCAATTTCTAAATCACAGGGACAAAAATCATGATTTTTATCAAACCATATGGATGAAAAACCTAATTTACTCTTAGGAATTACTGACTAGTTTGTAGTAACCGTGAGATCTAATTTCAACCATAAATCAATAGATAAACTAGGAAATTTATAATTTTGGTAATTTTGAATTAAAATTTAATACAAGGACATTTTAGGTATTCTCTCTCATCTCTCCTCTCTTCTCTCTCCGTCCTCCGGTGATACCACTGTGATACCTAAAAATATTGACTTTGTTAAACAAAAGACACAGTGTGATACCCAAGCATATATAAGATGCATTGTGATACCACTGTGTTACATCTCCGATCGACCACACAAACGACCTCAGAGTGATACTCAAGCACATATATTCATGATGCATTGTGATACCATTGTGGTATCACCGGAGGACGGGGAGAGAAGAGATGAGAGTTTTAAAATACCTAAAATGTCCTAACATTAAATTTTAATTCAAAATTATCAAAATTATAAATTTTCTAATTTATCAATTGATTTGTGGTTGAGATTGGATCTCACGATTACCACAAACTAATTAGTTCTCGTTTGATTAGACTCATATATGCTAGAAGAATGATTGAATGACAATATAGTCAAAATAAATAAAAGAACATAAAAACAATAAAACAATACGTGATTATAGAACAGAATCAAGACAACTTGGTCTACGATTTAGGTTGCAAAAATGACACATAATTACATATGATTTTACACATGATTTCAATTATACATAACAATAAAAAGCTATATTTAGACCCAAAGAACGAAAGAAAGCCATATTACACTTAAAAAACGAAATAATATATTGATTATCATCAATAAGAATATCATGTTACTGATATTAAAATTTAACGTGATAAACACTTACAACTGATATTTTATAAAAAGAATAAAATAGAAATTCATAGAATTTCACAACAAATAGGGCATTGAACCAATCCATTCTCATTGCAACCTCTACACTTTAACGTCTTCTTTCCATCTCTACCCATCAACATACAACCCCCATTGCACACACTACACACAATAAAGTGCTCGCCGGCGCACCCCTTGCAACCGTGGGCCGCCGCCGGCGGAATCCCATCTAGTAAAATTCCCAATTTACCCTCCTCTTCTAACTTCACTATTTCATCACATCCACCTATCAATCTCCTTTTCACTAACACCACAGGCACCTTCACTTCTTTCTTCCCCATTAGCTTCCTCAATTCTTCCTTAAACCCTGAATCCATCGAAACATCGCGTTCGAACATCCGAATGCCGTGTGATTTGATGATCCTGCGGACGGTGTTGCAATCCTCGAAAGTTTTACGAATTCCTCTTAACGTGGTGGTGTAAATCACCACAGCATTGGCGGCCGAACCGCCAAGCGGGGATTTTTTCTCGTATAGCTCCAGAATCGAATTTGAATCAATGAAGTTTCTTGATTTTTGGGTTGCGGGTGTTCCCGGAACCGTTTGCGTGATCTGTTCTTTCTTGAATGAACCCACATGATTGGGATCAAACAGCGGTCCAAGATTCCTTCTTCGCAACAAAATCAAACCGGAATCAACAGGAGAACCACGGGATTTCACACAATTAGGACTACCCTTTTTCGAAATTCTTAAATTTGGGGGTAATGATGAAGCTTTTAAGACTCTAGTTTTTGGACTGTTATTCTCCTTGCCGGAAAACTTCTGCAACATCTTTGGAGAACCCATCTGATTCAAGAACTTTAATGGAGTTTTGGCATCAATTTCTGCAAACCCACCAAGAAATCTAGCGCTTTTGTCCGGCGGAATCAAAACCGGTACGAGTTCTTGAAGATCCTCCATTAGCTCCCAAGCATTAATGATCTCCGGCGGCCCCAGTTCCTCCTTGATAGACCTACATGACGGATATACCTTCTCCGGCGGCCGTGGTGGTGGTGGTTGATCATGGTCAAGTTTCAGAGCACCGTAAGTGGAAGAAGTGAGTGAAACAACATGGTTGATGTGATCTCCTCCGCCATTAGTGCCATAGAAAGCATCTCTCTTGCGATCTATCTTGATCTGTTTGGAAGATAAACACCCCATATGATCAGTGCGTGTTCTTGGTGTTGTGTGTGTGAATCTTCATAGGGATTATAAAACTCCGATTTGTTGTCGGATTGGAATGTCTGGATATATCTATATAAACCTAAAGTTCCCGTTTGTTCGTGTGTACGAAGTGAGAGTAACCGTTGCAGGATGTTGAACGGTCCAAATTTTCAAATCTGCAAAACATTCACTTTTGGCCCCTCATGTTTCCATATTGTTACATACTTTTATTTGGAAATTTAGTGGATTCATTATGGATAATTATGAGCTCAACTTTATGTCAAAAATAATGATATCAACTTCATGTCAAATGTAAAATCATGATTAAGACCCAAAGGTTAAACTAGGAGGTGACGTAATCAAATTCATGAAGAAATAAAAATCCTTTTTGTAATTATGGAAGTTTAAATACGGTGATTTTAGCTATCTGTAAAGCATATGATCGTTTTGGGATTAATCGACTCACATAATAGGTTGAATATCCAGGTTAATAAAAAAAGATCATCATAAGAGAATTTTACATCATCAAATGTTGGATTTTTAGAGGTTTTTCTTAGATTTCATAATTATACGACCTATTTTTTGGAATTTTTTTAATATAATTGGTTTTTTTTTATAAATTTTATATACTTAAACAAATTTATTTATTGTTATTAAATTAATTATATTTTAATAAAATAAATAAATAAATAATGCTAATTAAATTTACTAGAAAGGTACTCGCATAATTTAGCGAGATACATCTCGATTTTCATGTTTCAGTTTTTTTTGTCTCAGCCGATGTTATAAAAAATTGAAAAAAAATATTGATATATACCAAAATAACTTTAAATTTTTTTTTTTTTTGTGTATATCTTTAATTCAACTTTTTTGGTTTAATAATATATTTTTTTATAAAAATAATAATTAAGTATTTTGTTAGAACTCAATGATTATCTTAATTATATTTTAAATATTTTATATTTAAAATGAGATGTTTATCTTCTATTTGATTATATTTATCAGTAGTTAGTTACACAAATTCAAACATTAAGCTTTAATAAGTTGTACTTACGCAAAATTTACTTGTAATCTTGATTTTTTAAGTAATATACATCAATAAACAATACTTCAAGTATAAAAATGGTTTTTAAGAGTTCCTGTCAAATGTTTTATAATATAGTATAGATTATACATTTTTTGATATAATTACTATAAAAAAAATTAATTTTATACATGAATCTTGTATAATTTTTACAGATTATTTGGAAACCTAATTTTGTACATACTCTTATACAATTTCTACAAATTTCTTGATAACACATATTTATGTACATGCTTTTAATTTAAGTGGTTAGTTTTTTTTTAATAATAAGAATTTTATGTAAAACATATTGTACTGATAGATTTAAATGAAAATATTATAAAATAAAATTAATACATGATTAAAATAATAATATTTTCTCGATATAAATACATATATATTTTATACAAACCTTAATATATCAGGTTTTATAAACAAAAATATAAGTAATATAAAATCAAAACGGTAATATACAAATCTGGAGCATATAAGGGGTGCTCAAAAACCCGACCAACCCGATCAACCCAACCCAACACGAAATAACTCAACTCGAAGCAACCCGATGTCTAATCGAGTTGTAAAATTTTCAAACCGTAGGTATTGGGTTGATATTGAGTTGCAATTATTTGAACCCAACTCAACCCGATGAACCCGATGTCCTTTTATTTCTTGGATTTAATATGATCGTTAAATTTCTATTAATATATACATTAGACAATTACACTATCACATACGCTCTTCATATACACATATTTTCAATCTCCCCTTGGTATTCTCTACCTACCCACATGTGCCGGTTTCGGGTACTCACATCTCTATATAATTCATTTATATATATGTTCAGTAACTGTGAACATATATATGTAAATTCAGAAAACTAACTTAATGTGATATACGTAAGAAGTATAGACAAGTTGTATCAAATGGTTGATGATAAAAAAAAATATGAGTAGAAAAATAACATATTCAAAGTTAGAAGAATATTTTAATGTACCAAAGTATCAACCCGACCAACCCGTATGGGTCGGGTTGAGTTGCACCTTGGTTTGGGTTGGGGTGAGTTAAGATTTTTCAAACCGTAAGCATTGAATTAGATTATTCAAATGTCTTCAAACCGATCAGCCCAACCCATGAACACCCCTAGTATTCATCCTGAATAATACCGTGAGATTTTACTTAGATTTTGAAAAACTATTATTTTGTAAAAGATTTAATATTTTTTTAAATGACATTTAATATGTTGTCATAAATGGTCCTATTCCAAAATTTATTATTTATATATAAAAATAAAAATAAGTTATTAATTTAAGTAGCACTATTTTTTATATGTTACTCATCCCATCATATTCAAGTTGTTGGAATGTGTATATCAAAGTTAGTGAGTGTCAATTCATGTATTTTTTTTCGGGGTGGGCTAAATGCACCCCTATGCATTACTTAATGCACCCCTACCATGAATTTTTTCCTCACACACATCAACATCAATGTATGCTTTTTACATTCCCAATGCTTGAAATGACCTGATTCTGACATGAAAGGGGGTGCCATTAGCACTCCCCTTTTTTTCCTATAAAATTTGACATTGAAAACAAAACATCACAATCCAAATTTAATTAAACATCAATAAATTATTATTCCAACTCTTTGAAGACAAAAATGTCTATTTTCCTTGGTCAACTCCATCATGACTTATGCAAACCATGGATTTTAGAGTTATGCCTCATAAATGGAAATGCATACTACATCACAAAATATCATAGATGAGATTAAAATATCATCAATTATTTAATTAAATGAATTTTGAGACGGAATTCTTTTGAGGGAAGGATAATGTGATAACCGGTTATTCGGTTTATAAATTTCAGTGTTGTTTTTGAATTAAGGTGGAAGGTTGAGGGGTTTTGTTGTGTTTTTATGTTTAAAATAATTTTTCTAAACTCTTCTACTGCCTAATTGATTTTTATACATTTTTTTATGAGATAATCCTAATATCTCATTGGGATGGTGAGTTTTTGGAGTCGAGAAAAAGATAATCGAAGAAGGAAAACTTATAGATTTGATTTTGTGATTAAAGTGCTTGGAGAATTGTTGCTATATATCATCTTATCTTCATCTACGTAAATCACAAGGTGAGTTATTTACAACTTTCCTTATTTGGTAATTTGAGAAATAGAACCGTATGGTTCTCTATATGAGATGTCTATAAAATTGTTTTTGGATGCTATAATTAGCATGATTGTGAGTTTTTGATATGTTTATATCATGTGATGGAATAAGGGTGTCATATCAAGGAAATGTGTACTTTGGGTTATAAGGGTGACATATCGAGAAGAAGTGTATACCAGGATAAGGGTGACATAATCATTGAGCTATAAAATCGGAGTTTTTGATCAAAATGTTATATGTTATCACATGCGATAACTTACGATTGTTGCATCTATGTGATGCGATGACTTAAAGTTATCGCATTCTATTGATACGATGAATAGTTGTTATCGCATTTTTCTAATACGAGGAGTATGTTATGATGCGGCAAGATTGGTTTATCGCACCTATGTGATGCGATGAGTTGGGGTCCTCGCACCAGTGTGATGCGAGAAAATGGGGTTGTCTCACCCATGTAATACGAGAAATTTATATACTTTTTTATATGATGCGATAAGTTTACTCATAATGTTTTATCAAGCTATTTGGCTAGTTTGTGCGATAAACGAGTTTGTTATTATCAAAATGATGTATGATTGTTATTATTATTATTATAAATATGAGTTCATAAATGTGATTTGGTGATTATTCGCCTTGTAATAGCATCAAAGAGATTTATCGCTATACCTCAAGTTCTAACCCTTATTTTGTATTTTGAAAATGTGCATTACAGGTCGTGTTCAATCAAAAGCTAAGAGGAAAGGAAAATTGTGAAGTATTATATATGCTTGCATGGAGTATTTGGCTATAGCATATTCTTCTTTTATATCTGAATATTTGTCATGTATTTCAGTGTTGTACAAAGATTTTGTGGAAAAAAATATTAGTTATTTTGTAATATAGCTTTTATAAAATATTGAGATCAAATGTGTAAATTATATTTCTTGATATATGAAAATATATGTTTATATACAAATATGATATTGTGGTGTTATTAAAACACATAATATGTAACTATGAGGATATAAAATGTAAATACTAAAAATAACTTGCACGTATTATAATATTTAATAATATAAGATTAATTCAAAAAATATTCAATATTGGGTTCTTTTTGAACGTATTCACGAGACGATTATAATTATATAATTTTAAAAAACGTATTTTTTCATATATTTTAGTTAATATACGATTATATATGTTAATATAATAAAAGTGTAAATAAAAAATAAAAAAATAAATTAACCTAGATATCCAACCCGTTATACGAACCGACTAATCTCAGGACGACCATCTGCTTTGCAGATAGCTCGAAGTCATCGCATTTGAACCTCCGTGGCCACAAGGAAATTTTTATTCCTCCTTAAATTTGAACATGAGACCTCCAGGTACTTTTGACATTTGGAGCCAAGCTCAAACCAATCAGACACCACCCTTGTTGTTTTCTTTATTTCTTTTTATATTTTAATATCACAATTATAATAATTCTCTTATAATTATTTTTGGTTCAAAATAAAGTATATTTATGCATGTGAAAATTATATAATTGTTAGGTCAAAATACAGATAAGTAAATATCAAGGAAAAATTAAGGTTCCGTTTGATTTATAAGAATACAATGAATTTGGGAGGATTTGGATTTTGATGTCAGATTCATTTCACGTCTACTCATATATACTTGTATGCTTACACTATAAAATTAGACAAAACTTTTTTAATTAAAACTTCCTATTTTGTCCTCATAAATATATAATTTTTTAATTGATTTTATTTATTAAAAATGAAAAAAA